CACTGAGCGAACTTTTGATTCAGTGTTGCCAACCGTTTCAAGGACCTATAAGATTTTTGTTTGAGATATGAGTATTTATTATTCGAGAAGTTTACTGCAGTCTCTTGGATATAAATAGGTGCTTCCATGTCCTGAAAGTCAGTCATTTAAATTATATATTAATTTGTTTATTTAAATTTTAATGCACAATATAGCATGACATTATCACTGAGCGAACTTTTGATTCAGTGTTGCCAACTCAACCGTTCCAAGGACCTATAACATTTTTTGTTTGAGAGTCATATTTCAAACAAAAAATGTGAGATTTTTTGATATTTGAGATTTTTTGTTTGATATGAGTAGGTACATTATTATTCTAGAAGACTTTTGCAGTCTGTTGGATATACTTGGTTCGATAAAGTCTATAATTTATAGGTGCTTCCATGTCAGGAAAGTCAATCATACATGTATTATATATTATTTTCTTTATTTAAACTTTAATGCACAAATCAATACATACACACACAAATAAATAAAATTGAAGTGTCTGTTTGTACTTTCAAAATAAAATATTTTCACTAAATGCATATGAAATTATATTCAGTACTTATCTCAAAAAGATAATTTTAATATATTTCTATCTGTCAGTTTGTTCTTGCTAATTTCTGAAACAACTGGACCGATTTTGACGGTACGTTCACTTGTTGATAGCTAATGTTATAAGGAGCAACTTACGTTATTTTAGTTTCGTAATTCTCGTTAATAAGAAATCAATAATATATATTTAAAATTTTGGCGTAAATTGAGCATCAGCTCAAAGTTATCTAGCTCGATCCCAACCTGCAAGAAACGCAAACTCTAAAGCGACCAGACTTTAAATAAATACTTTAAATACATTGACATGCTCTATTTTTTAAATTTTGACAGCCCTGTTTTACTTACAACTTATCCATTTTTATATTAGTTTATCCTCAATACTATAAGGACGCTCTAGTAATACCTAGTAATTAATAGTTGATTTGTATTTTTGTAATGTTATTTTTTGTCTGAGGGCCATTTTCTGGGCCATAAAAATAAAACAAATAAAAAAATCAGCTGTGCCTTTTCACGTAATAAGTACCTACATCAGATACACAGCATCAAGCAGTTCAAGGTTTGAGATGGTCTCGCTAGTGCATTAGTAAATTACTTGGTACTTCCTTCGATTCTTCTCACTAACCTCAATTTGGGATCCTTTGTTTCGATCAATTTATAACGAACAGGTATGTTAGGGATTGTGTAATTATTAGGTTTGTATTAGGCATGAGTAAACGGAATTTACTTGAATAGCTTCAGGAACAAAATAAAAATATATTATAACGAGACTTCACACAAAAGATAACATCCTTTTTATAACGTGAATATTTGAATGCTAATGTAAAATACGACGTAATATTAAGTTTTTTTTTTAACTCTATTTTATACATATATAATCTTAAACATTTGTCATCGGGCTTCAGCCAAGCGTGGTTGAGTTTAAAAGTTGAGTGATAAAAGTGATGTGTATTATTAATGTATTATATTGATATTAAAATTTATAAAAAATATTCGAGTTATGTAATAAATATAATACAATACGATATTGAAATGTCAAGAAAATATATTAATCCTTCTTAAAAGACCGGCACGCACTTGCAATACCCCTGGTGTTGCAGCTCCGTTCGTTTGACACCTATGCTATAAAAAAACTAACATTTTAAAAGAAATAATCATTGATTTTATGTATATATGTTTGCAATGGACAAACTAAAAAATACTTCATGATTTAGAAGTTTGTTATTAGCGAGTAATGGAAATTGTTTCACGCAGGAAGACGCATTAGGGATCATCCGTCATACTCGTGAACGGGTGCTTGTGGAGTCTGTTCGATGAACACTGATTAGACTTTTTGCTTTTGCAATGTCATATTCTGGAGGTTACTCTATTCTCCCAAAGTTGAATTTAAAAATGAATCTGTATTATTGTAAACATGTACAACATTTATTAGAAAAGAATGCGAGCTGAATTTCTTGTCAGTTCTTCTCATTTCGAAATAAATTCGAACTGGCGGAAGATTTCACATATCATAAGAGTCTGTAATAGACCTACATGAAGGAAGATATGTTGATTTGAAAATTACATAATTTATTTGTTTATTTTTGATAAATTTCATTCACACCGTCTGGAAAAAAACTAAAAAAGTTTATATGTACTTAGGTACATTATCTTCAACTCCTTAATTACTGTCATCTTCTTCAATAATCCGAAGATAAAGTCATCGCATCATTATTTATTTCTGGACATACTTATTCACTTAAATTGTATAGTTCAACATTTTTTGTTTTGATACTTATTATATACTAGCCCGTGATGTTTTTTATCTGGCTTTTATAGTCTAAGATATGGCACATGAATAATAACGTATAGGTCTTCAATAATGCTTCTATGTGAATTTTATTCTTAGTGTAATAATCTTTCGACTTGTCTTTGATTTTCATAAATAACAAGGAAGGAAACATAAAGATCATATACCATTTAACAAGTTAGACATATAATATAGTGCATATCGGATTACTATAGGATTATTATCTTACTAATATCTTATTCATATTATAATCGCGAAAGTTGCAATTTGTGTGTATGGGTGGACGTTTGTTAGTCTTTTACGCAAAAACTACTGAACGAATTTTGATAAAACTTTACAGTAATATAGCGTATTCATCAGAATATTATATAGGCTATAATTTTCACGCGGGTGAAACCGCGAGCATAGCTAGTTACATGTAAACGTGAAAGTTTGTGAGTTAGTCCTTAAGGTATTGTGCATAACGCACCTTTTTATATGATAATTATTCGTTCCATTTTTATTGTCAATTTGAAATATATGTCTTTTACCTTCAGCGACCGTAGTTTCTCTTGTAATTAAAATTAAAATATATTATAAATTAAAAATACAGTCCTTAGAAACCTCACTAATTAAAAGGTCCATATAATACCTTTTAATTAGTGAGGTTTCTAAGGACTGTATTTTTAATTTTTAATATATTTTAATTATACACATATTGTTTTATAAATAATATTAAGTTTCATAAAACAAAATAAATAAATATAGCCAGCCAAGCCATATGCAACATTTAAATCTGCATTATTATCTATACATATAAATAAAATTAGAGTGCCTGTTTGTAATATTGAAATAACCATTTTTTTACTACGTGCATATGAATATAAATACATACGCCAAAATATCATGTTTTACAATTTTTGTCTGTCTGTCTGTCTGTTTGTTCCGGCTAATCTCAAATGACTGGACCGATTTTGACGGGACTTTTATTGGCAGGTAGCTGATGTAATAAGGAGTAACTTAGGCTACTTTTATTTTAGAAAAATAAAGTTAAATTCCTCGCGGATGGTGTCGCGGGAACAGCTAGTCTAATATATAAACTTCGTCATTATCAGGTAACAGAAGAGGTTATATATTTCTTATGCCGTATCTCCTACTATTAATATAAACAAGTTTATAAAACATCTGTACAGTATCATTAATTTATATCATAAAATTAAGCGATCAATTTTACTTCTTTCGTGGAACATTTTAAGTAATTATTATGGTTTGTTATTAATAATGTTTAATATATTTATTGCATAAAATTATTGTTTTTATACCTTTGAATATGGTTAAAGCAAAGCCGATACCAGATGTAACTAGTTTCTCCAGACATGTAGACAGAAAAAAAATAAAACTTTATGAATATACATTCTCATACAAGTATAATTTTAGCCACTTATGTGTTTGACACAATATTATTAGAATAGATAATCCGTATCTTTACATCTATACATATAAATAAAATTGGAGTGTCTGTTTGTAATATTGAAATAACCGTTTTTTACTATATGCATATTAATATAAATACGATACATGCACCAAAATAACATTTTTTACAATTTTTGTCTGTCTGCCTGTTTGTTCCGGGTAATCTCTGAAGTGGCTGGGCCGATTTTGAAGGGACTTTTTTGACAGGTTGCTGATGTAATAAGGAGTAATTTAGGCTACTTTTATTTTAGAAAAATAAAGTTAAATTCCACGCGGACGAAGTTGCGGGAACAGCTAGTTCTTACTAATATTATAAATGCGAAAGTAACTCTGTCTGTCTGTCTCGCTTTCTCGCCAAAACTACTGAACCGATTTGAATGAAATTTGGTATACAGGTAGTATGGACCCTGAGAAAGGACATAAACTTTTCAATGCGAAAAAAGGGTTTTAAGGGGTTAAAACGGAGATGAAAGTTACTATGGAGTATCGTCATTTTTAAAGCTGGAAGTTTGAAACGTATTTGTTTATGAAATTCATAATAAAGTATTAATTATATATAAATTATTTTATTACATGGTCAAGGTCACCCGTCCACGCGGATGTATTCGCGAGCACAGCTAGTAATAGAGATACCTAATTATTTTGGTTTCGTCTTTTTAGAATATAATTTCAGTAGAGAAATGAGAACAAAATGGGCTTAGTTATATGTTTTTGATCACTTGTCAATATATTAAAATAGTGTATATGATAAACATATTATATGATTTTTATTTTTGTTTAGATGATAATTAATAAATTTAATTCCATAAGCTAGAGCTGTTCTTAGCGTAGTCGTGATTTTAACTCTGGAAAAATTTGCTATAGTTTTTTTTTATTCAAATATTCATTAGAGATAATTTAAGTTTTAAATAAACCAATTGTAAAAAAAAATGTACGTACCTCGTTTCGTTTTTTGTTGTCTTTTGTAAGAGTCAATAAATAATATTGTATTCTACATCTGTTGATGTGAGATAAATTAAAAAAATATCAATCTTAGCACCAACCAGGCACATTAACGAGGTTTTCAATTTGGTTAAAAAACTATCTGTTATTTAAAAATTATGTAATTTTCATACTCACTTTTAGCATTTTCAAAAAATTGCTTCTCAAAATTTGTGATTTAGCAAAATAATAATAAGGACAGAAATTAAATAAAAACTATATTATCATTTCATAAAGTACCTAAAAAATTGATTTCTACAACTTGTATTCTTATTTACAGTGTCACAGATTTCATTAGCACTAATAATCGAAATATTTCATTATTATACAGGTCCCACAACTTTGCACTAAAACAGGGAAGGGTCTTCGTAAACCCCAGCAAATAATATTGCACGTGAACACTTCTCGATAATCAGAAACACAAACTCTTTATTGGCCACAAACTTTTGTCCCAATCTTCTATTCTCTAATCCTACTACGGTAGATGACGCAGCCACTGTACCACTTTCAGTCACTTCTATATCAACATTCTGAATGGTTTTAGACACAAATAATGGACTGTTAGACACACCAGGTAACTGAGCTCTCTGTTTATCAAAAACTGAAATTATTCCTGAATATTGCATGGGTGGTATTAAATTTGTCTGAGATGACATTTTAAATCTTGGTACATAAACTTCAATGTCTGGTAAATTCGTGGAGTATTTATATTCGGTCATCCAGCTTAGTGGTTGAGATGCTAGATTTTTCAATAATGACTTTATTGTTACACCATCAAATGGTAGCAGAATAAGCATCGCAAATTGCTGATCACGACCATATGTCAACTCCAACACTTGAGCTTCTATACTAGTTGCATCCCCGAAACTGTGGTTGCCTTTTTGGTACATCATATTCACAGAACCTATCATCTTTCCTTGAGAATTATAAAAGGTTTCAACCTTTGTATAAGAACGATCAAACTGTTTTGTCCAATTAGCTTTGAAGTAAAGAGCATCTATCAGAACCATTCGAAGGTTCTCCAAAACTTCTGGTTTAACTGCATTCAATATTCTGCCTTCCGTTGCTAAACATATGAAGTAGTTTATATCATTCGCAAGTTTAGTAGTATTGCTTGGATCCACAGAGTATATATCAGTATTATATGTAACCGCGGCTTTACAGAATTCAGGATGAATCTCCAGAGAACAGTCAGAGAATATAACAGACTTTCCATTTATGAGGACATCTTTATCACCACACTTCAAAATATTTCTAGCTGCTAAATGCAACGCCTGCGTTGATCTCAAATCTCTGGGAAGTCGCAACTCCCTCATTAATTCCAGGAAGGTATCTCCAGAAGAACCCTCTGCTAGCAGAGAGAAGATGCTCCATACAGATAGGGGCGATATTGCAATATTTGTTCTCAACTTATTGGGATCATTTTTCTCGTATGCGTAAGTGTTATCCAATAACCTTAATGCAAACTGGTTGATTGGTGCGAAATTGTTGAAGTCTAAAGTTGTAGGCGCCGTCGAGACTAAACTCGCGAACGCTAGTGTCATTAACTTCCACATTTTACACACGACTTAAGAGTACAGCCTTTGGCGCAATACTACTATGGCAAAAAGCGATTCTATCAATTTCAATGGGAGTTTTCTCACGTGCGATGCACACAATGAATATCATTAACTTGAGTAACGTGTGCCGTGAATGATTTTAAAGAACTATGCTTGAGTGCGGATGAGAAGCGTTTATATGAGAATGATAAGTATTAATAAAGGCTCGGAGCAAGCAAATTGGTATCCATTACGTGTCAATAGCAAATTGACTTTTTTTAGTTTAACGGAATTTTTTCAATCAATGTTACTTATAGCATGTTGTTGTGTTTATAATGCGTTGTTTACCTCGATAAAAGATATTACATATTAACTGTTGTTATTTACACTACCAGAGCATAACTTAATATTTCAGTTAGTCAAATATTTCCTCAAGTGAAAACCTTCGCCATATCATCCATCAAAACTTTCTGTCTATGCGTGTATCTTTTTATTCAATTGCCATGAAACTAGGTCAAGGTCCGTGAGAGAATTCAAGATCAGACGGAACTGGTATATTTATAGTGTATATGGATAAGATGAATGAAAGTGAATGATGCAAGATAGTGTAAATATATCTATGATTAGATGTAGACTTTATGTAAAGTCGACTGTCTTATTCATTTCAGCCAGCCGCAAAGCACGATCTTTGAAAACTTTGGTTTGATTTGGAGGTGAGATATGGCAGTGTAATTACAGAGTATGAAGGCATAACTATTCAGTCCTTCAGAATTGCAAATTGCAAATTGTTTACTGCCAATTTCTTACATAATGATATATATCCGTCGCCATTCGATTATTTTTAGATATTCGTAATCAACTTAGTAAGAAGATAGTCAGTGTAAGCACGAATGTCAGAATCCCCGTTATCTCCCCTCAAAAATATTATTAGCTTTGGGTAGATATTTCTCAAATGAATTGATTAAAAAAACTGGTTGCTATAGTAGAGTAGTCAAAACCTACATCCTTGCTTGCATGTATTAAAATATTTATTGACTTATGTAGGTACAGTTTAATGGTGACTATTGTTTATTAATGGAATATCGACGTAAAAATAAAATAATCACAAAATCCTTTTAAGATAGTATAATATATTATCTATTCTGTGGTCACAGAAAGGTAATTCTACCGGATTTTCATTAAAAGTTAAATATGTGCGCTTGCGTTAAGGTGATACAATAATCGTAAAAAAATCGATTTTATAGACTGTCCCTAATTATTGTATCATGTAAGATTACCATATAGTAGTCTTATACTGTTTTAAATGAAAATATATTAATAAAATGTAATAAGATATGGAAAGTTAAATTAAAAACTTTATACAATTTATTATGTTTATAAATAACCATAGTATTAGATTTATTATGTTACCTTAGACAATAATTTATATTCGATTCAGTTCTATTCACGAAGGCGAAGGATCTTCGTAAACACCTGCAAACAATATTAAATTGGATCGTCTTTCTCTAATTAGGAAAACGAATTCTCTATCAGCCATGAACATTTCAAACTTTTTCGTTTCCAACCCGATCATTGTTGATGATGCTACAGAAGACCCGCTTTCGGTCACTTCCATTTCTATATTCTGGACTGTTTGAGATACAAATAGTGATATATTTGATACACCTTCAAGTCTAGCTTTCTGTTTGTCGAAAATAGATGACATACCCATAGATTGTAATGCTGGTATTAAATCAATTTGAGATGTCACTTTGAATTTTGGTATAGAACACTGCATTTGGACACTTTCAAAACTATTACTGTTCATCCAATTCATTGAACAAGAAGCCATATTTCTCAAAAGTTTGTTTATAGAAATACCTTTGAATGGCAATAGAATAAGCATGGAAAATTGTTTGTTTTTACCATACGTTAATTCCAATACACTTGCTTCTATTGAAGGCACATCTCTAACATTGTAACTAGCTTTTTGAGTCATCATGTTGACAAATCCTATATTTTTCCCATTGTAATTGTAGAAAGGTCGTGCTACTGTTTTGTTACGATCAAACTGTATAGTCCAATCAGAATTAAAATATAGTGCATCAATTATAATCATTTTTAGATTCTCCAGAATATCAGGTTTCACTGCATTATCAATTTTCCCATTTGTAGCATGTGATATGAAATTATTTATTTCCTTTGCCAATTTCACAGGATTACGAGTATCAACTGGAAATATGTTTGTGTCATAATCATTAGTCGATTTTGCAAATTGTGGGCACACGTTGAAGTGTTTGTCATACAGCATCAGTGTATGGGCGTTTATGATAACATTTTCATCATTACTTCTCAAGAAATTCCTAGCAAAGCGATGCTGCTTCTGAATTGATCTTCTTTCATTTGATAACCGTAATACTTCAGCTAATTCTTGGAAAGTTGTCCCCGATGCGCCTTCAGCGAGTAACGAGAAGATGTTCCACGTTGAAAACGGTGCTATAGCCACGTTTTTCAGTTTGCTATTGTTTCTCTGGTAATTGTATGTGCTGTTTAATAATTCAACGGCAAACTTGTTGATAGGTGAGATGAGAATATCTACGAGACCTGGCATTTGATATGACACTGGGGCAGTTGAGGCTAAGCCTAACAGAGTGAATGATACAATTTTCCACATTATATTTGAAATATTTAAAATCAACTGTAACCCTAAAAGATATTGCTTACATTTATGTGGGGGTTACCTCAACTACAATTGCGTAAATGGTTTGAGAGAACTAAGGGAAATTATCTATGGGAATAGCTTATATAGACATGACATAGATTCCTAGTGAGACAAAATATATTGTTATGTGCATAATAAGAGCAGCAGACCATAGATAAAATAAGTGACGATAACGTCATTAGAACGAGCGTTTCTACTTCCTAACTGATATTATAAATGCAACAGTAAGTTTGTTTGTTACGACTATATTCTTTATTTAAGTAATGGGATACAAGACGGGGTCACCTGGTGGTAACTGGTAACCGTCGCCTATATACATGAACTTATACATCATCATGTAACACCCGACAGACTACTCCTGCGTTGCCATTCGAGAACTAAGATTTTGTAGCTGTTATCCCGTAATTACCTAAATATCATCACGAAATTTAACATACATATACTCTTTTGAATGAAATTAATGAAGACGTACATATGCTGGTTAAGACGAAGTTACTGGAAGAAACTAGTTGATTATATTTCCATCCCCATTCCGAATCTGGTATTCAAACATTTTATTGTAATGTTTATTATTTTTTATATATATATAGCCTATTAGCCTATTTTGTACTGATTGCGATAATTCTTTTGATTATCTGTAGAGTTTACTCCCCTGTTGGTTCTGTATTAATTTAGTTCTGTAGTAATAATTTTTGATGTCTTGATTCAATTTGCTTGAAGAAATCTGAAATTATTATAAAATGTTTCTCATATTTCTGTTTCATAATTGAAATAACACCTTTAGAGATATTACTTGAATATTTTTTCTGGGAATAATTTTAATTTTAATGTATTAATAATACAAATAACCAATGATAAAAGTCGTCCCAGAATAATAATAATATCTCAGAATAATTCTCACAGCTCCAACTAGTCCCAATTCAAGTCAACTTTTATGAGTACTAGACAATTGATATAAATACACAGATACTTTTTTTTTTAAATATATCTTATCTTAATAATGTTATAAACGCGAAAGTTTGTAAGTATAGATGTTTGTTACTCTATCACGTAAAAAGTACTGAACGGATTTTGATGAAACATTACAGTAATATGGCTTATGCATCAGAATAACACACAGGCTATATTTTATATTCAACGCAAGTGAAACCGCGGGCACAGCTAGCACATAATATATTTAAGAAAATACCAGAATAGGATAACAGATTAATTAACCCGGTTTAAAAAAAGGTTAATTTTACTTAATTTCTAAGTTTGTTGACTCTTAAGTAAAGTAAGATCCTGTTATATGGTATGATAGCCCTAATATTGGATTATAGATATAATAGTAGGTACAATTAGTGCCAACTACATCGTCACTAATTCTAGTTCATGTAACGAATTATCATAAATATTTTGTGAGTAGGATAGGGGTTATGGCGAAACAGCCTTTCTTGATTATCGGTTTGATAGTTAGGCAAGTATTGTACAGTGTGAAAGAAAAAAGACAGATAATGAATGCTATAGAAAGTAGAAGAGGAAAAATCTTGGGGCACTTGATACGGCACGATGAATTTTTGAAACTAATTATTGAGGAAAAGATAGGAGAAAAGAGGGGGAGAGGAAGACCGAGGCACAGATACATCAAACAAATTAAAGGCAGAATTGGAGTCGTGTCGTATCAAGGCTTAAAGAGTATGATGGAAGATTATTGAAAGTGGAAAGAGCTCCACCGACAAGAGCGTTGCTCTTAAGTTTATGAATGAATGAATGAAGTTAGACAAGTAGGCACATTAACTTATATACTTATTTTATAACTTATCCAGAAATTTCTGCCTTGTTTCACGTTTCAGTGGAAACGTGTTATACAATCTAAAAAATGGGGGGTTAGCACAGGCGGACTATTCCATTATCATAAATAAAATATCTAAAAAAATGAAAAAATTCAGAACATCCCCTTCTTTTTAAAGTATTTTAAACTTTGTATAGGTACACTGGTGGCAATAAAACGGCTTTTTTAAACTTGATACTTATATCTTATATTAAATACGTGAAACAAAAACTTTGTATCCCTTTTTACAATTGTTGTATGGACGGAGGAGTATGAAATTTCACACACTTATTGTTTATATAGAGAAGGAGTGTTGAAAGCTAATATTTTTTAAAATTATGCATAAAAATTATAGATTAAATGAGTAAATAAAAATATTAAACACTACTATGCGTTTGACATACACGCATATGTATTATTTTGTTTGTTGTTAAAGTCTGTGGTCATATTAAGAATATTTTTAATATTGTTGGTCTATAAGCTTATTGAATGTAAATTAATTATGATCGAATTTCGATCACGGGGCAACGAGTAGTTCATATTCTATACTACACTTTAGTGCCGGTAGAGTGAACTACCAGAGCATTTTCACAGCTCTTATTATATGTACATATAAAACTAATTATAAGGTTGGAATATAAAATAAAAAAAACAAATAATTCTTTTTTCGAAAATATAACTGCCATCTATTTCAATATTTATGAACTACTTGTATGTAGCTTAAATTAAATTTACGTTGCTTTCATACAACACGAATAAGTTTCATGCCGCAACAATAGATGTCGCTATTTGTTATTTCACACAGCCTTAGCATTTAGGACACCGCTTTACTTCCGGTCGCGGTTCGATTCCTGCAAGTACTTGTATTCATGAGTGTGATTGTTTGTATCGGTCTGGATGTTTTCTATGTATACTATGGATGTATTTACAAAAAAAAATAATATCTAAGTATTTGTATCAGTTGTTTAGTACCCATAACACAAGCTTAGCTTGGGACTCGATGACGCTGCGTAAATTTTTGTTTATTATTTCAACTCAAGGCTGTATTTTTAGTAAGTAGTAATTTCTGTATGTATTAAAAAGAATGTTAAGTTAGTTAGTTCAGAGTTATGTACGTTCATACTCCGACATATACCACCGGCGCCGCAACGATTTGCAGGAGGACCATGTGGAGGTCGATCTGACATGGTATACTTCTAGTAAAGTGAAGTCATCTGTGGTACTATCTATTATGTACAAAGGAGGATAATATTACAGGTTTAATTGTTCAATATACATATATAACTATAATATGTATAGGTAATATATGTAATCAGCTTGCCGTCATAACCAGAGCTTAGCTAAATTAACCACGATTATTATCTATAGTACTGGCAACACTGTGATAACACATACATCATTGCATATATGTAATATGGATTGAAATAGCCACATGTAGGGTTGCCGACGTTAAAATATATAGTCTTGATCAAAATCTTGGTATGAAACTGTTTTACGAACTGACAATACATTAGCATATGTGTCCGCAATTAATATTATATATTATTATATATATATATATATATTAATATAGATGTTTGATATATATTAGATCAATTTGGTTTTCTAACCTTTCGTAAATTAAAATCACTTACGAACTTGTATAATAATGAAATTTTCTCATACTGAAGGCTGAAAATATTTGTAGAAAATTCCTCGTACGGTTGGCATCCCTGCCCACGTGTCGTTTATCCAGGATGATAATTAGCAAACCTCTAGATAATTCATGAATCAAGTCTAATCTAAGTATAGTATTAATCAGGCTAGAGATTTACTATTAGTATGTACATATATATAGGATTACTTCATTGCCATACGAAGATAATAAGATAATTAGAATATATACACTAAAAGTACGTATGTATGTTACATTTCCTATGCCTCTATTATATTTAAAACTATAACAGCTATTTCGGTGCATCAATTAAATAACAAATTTAATAATTCAAGTATTACAAATACACGCAATGCATTTGAAGAAATAAAAAACGTTGTAGGGTAGTCATGTCGAAAAAACTGTGATAATAATACTATCACTAAGTATAAAACAAAGTCTCTGTTACTGTCTGTCTGTCCCTATGTATGCTGAAATCTTTAAAAGTACGCAACGGATTTTGAAGCGGTTTTTTTTATTAGATAGAGTGATTAAAGAGGAAGGTTTATATATATATATATATATATATATATATATATATATAATACATACATTAAGAATTGGATAATATTAATATAATAGTAATGACATAACAGTAATAATATTGACATATAATGACTAAATAATAATATAGATATAATAATTTCTTAAAATTGTATAATATAATAATGTAATATGCTATCTGAAAGACAGAATTGTGTAATTATTTACAGAAGCATATAATATATTTTGCATGTCTTCATATAAGACGAATTGTATGGAACCATATGTACTTTATAACATCTGTGCACACCACATTTCTCGCAAAATAAAATCATTTCATTTCATTTCATTTCATTTCATGACACCCGTGCGAGGCCAGGCGAGTATTGTATAAATAACAATATCTATGTAATAAAGTAAAAATATATATTTTTAAATTATACATAAATACTACAGATATTTATATTATGAATACAAAAATTAGACAGAATAAATTAATATTTGATAATGACTTATTACTTAGAACGCATGTCTTTATTTTTATTCGAATTATATAATAAAAGTAGGTACCGTACATACCTATTTTTTTTTTACTAGCGTCCTTTTATTAAGGAGATCCGCTCGCCTCAGGGATTGGACGAAAGAATACTGCTTGTCTTCTATAGGGTAAAAAGAACATCCATTAAAGAAAGCTGTTTGACTGCACAAATACGTGAAACAGTACATACACAGATAGACTTAGTTAATCATGAAATTTTGCAGACAAATAATATGCGGTTTTGTGGATACCTCAGATATGTTTGGTATTCCATCATCAGTTATATTTTTAGACGAATTCTGTTTAAAATTGTAATTAGGTAAAAATAAATCTAACTTTGTAGATATCATTATATTCATACATGTTCATTCATTTTAGACGGCACCACAGTATTTCATAATAACCATAAACCTTCCTATTTATTTTTT